CATCTATTACGTACTTTTGGGAAGGTAAATAATTATGAACTGAAACTCTGATTACCGCTTTTTGAAATTACACGCAATAAAAACATTAAAAGTGTGCGCCTTAGTTTTTGAGCAAAAAGAAACTTCGAATATACATAAGCATTGACCAAAAATGTAGCAGAGCTTCACTTTACCAACTATAAAAAGGGAAATACGAGCACAGCAGAGCTTGTTCGCTTTATTATCAAGGTAGGGGTGGATATAAAACGTTCGTTCGTTCGTTCGTTTCAACCAAATGACGTCCACTGCTGGACAAAGGCCTCCCCCAAGGTTTTCCACAATGAACGGTCCTGCGCTGCCCGCATCCAGGCTCTTCCCGCGACCTTTACCAGATCGTCGGTCCACCTAGTAGGAGGCCTGCCCACGCTACGTCTTCCAGCCCGTGGTCGCCACTCGAGAACTTTCCTGCCCCAACGGCCATCGTCTCTACTCGTATCAAATATAAATACTTTTGAATAAAAAAATATTTAATGCATAAACATACACCGTAATTAAAAGTGAAATGAATATTTAGTCCAGTTATATCACACTAACAATTGCCCTACCCGGACTCAAACCAAAAAGCTCAGCTGTAGCTCGTTACAACCAAACTGTGTTACACGAAGGGAACATACAATTTATTGTATTTAATGAAGATTGATAACGAAACTAGTGAAAGTCGCGTACGTAGTTTCGTTCAAAAGTGACCTTTATCAAAAATGTCTCAAGGTTACTCTGTCATTAAGATATTGAGCAACTCTTATGTTAAGGCCACACTAAGTTAGCGTAAACTTTAATGGCTTTGTTTGCTTCTGTTTTTAAGGCTAAAACTCTGTCAGCTGTCATTTTACTCGCTGACACCAGTCAAGGCATAAAATATGACTTTCTCACGCTACGCTACGATCATAGCCGTTTCTAAATATTTATTATGAATTCCAACGACATCATAAAGGTAGTAAGTAATGTACTTAGTCTTATTTATTTACAAAGTTATAAGCTTTTTTAAAAGCTATAAACGAGAAAACAATTAATTTTCAGCCTTATGTACAAAAGACATCAACGCGCTTTTAGTATCGTGCGCGCACGCATTGATATATTGAAAATGTATTCATATTTTTCGTGTACGAATGAAAATTACAAAAATAACAGTATATAGACCTTATAAATATTTAATTTTCAAAATGAAACTGTTAGGCCCTTTTCACACGTCCCGGTTCCGGCTAATCGGCGCCGGGTATCCGGTGGTGAAGTGTATGGGCATGGTACGTAGCTTTCACATATTCCGGCGTAATTGTTACTAATTTGTTTTAAAACTAACTTACTATATTTAATACTGTTAATTAAGACAATAATATAATACTGTTTACGCAATATTTTAACCATGCTGTGTGTACACGTTATTTGAGTGATGATCTACATCTAAGCATAAGTTACTTTCTTTATATATTATTTGTGATTGTTACTTGTTGTGTATGCCTAATAATAAATAAATAAATAAATAAATTAATCCGGCATACCCATACACTTCACCACCGGGTACCCGGCGCCGGTTAGCCGGCAACCGGAACATGTGAAAAGGGCCTTAGGGATACTATTGTACATTTAAAGTTGTCTCTATTAAAGTTCTCTGCTATGTAATAATTTGAGTACTTATCTGTTATAAAAACGAGCAGTCTTATGTTCATAGGTGTACATTGTGCCTATAGGTGTTATAATTCTTTGCCATTTCGTCATAATAAAATTAGAGATTAATAAACATTAGTTTATTGTTACGGCAATAGTGATTAATTGAAAATTATTCATAATTACCGATCATTATTGTTAATAACCTACCTAAAAGTAAGAAATTAATCATTTATCGATGATTACTTAATAATGTAACCTTATTACTAACAAATGCCATAAAAAAGAACACGGGCTTGTGTAGTTACAGCGATTGTTTACAACTACACATTTTGATATCAAGTTTGGATTGTTTTTTGCATAAATTACTTCGCCTATATATTTTTGGATATAAGTGTCAAAATAGGTTATGGTGCGGTGGGGGATTATTAATAATGACCGGTAATTAAGAATAATTTTCAATTTATCACATTATTTTACCGTAACATATACTGACACTCGCAAAAATATGGAATCACCCTATTTGTTTCGAGCGATTACAAAAACTGCAAAAACTAAATGACTATAGAATGGTACCATTTTTATTTGTATAGAGACAATTAAAAATGGTACCATATTAAAGGTAATATTATTAACTTTAAACTGATACCACAAATACATACATAGTCATTTAGTTCTTAAAATCGCTCGGAACAAAACACAAGGGGGTGATTCCATATTTTTGCTCGTAAGTTTAAATATAATAAGTATAAATATTCACAGTAATAAAATGTTGTCTATAATTTAAAGTTATAAGCAGTGCATATTGGTCATAAAACACAATTGATAACGACTGTCATTACAAACCACTGCTGCCCAATTTCGACTAATATGTAATCAGTGTAATTTAGTGCGTTTCGAATTCAAAATTCGTCTGATTTCGCGCACATTCTTACGCATTTATTATGTTAATGTTTTTCAAAATTACAACCAGTGGGTTTTAATAAGCGGCCTGTGCCGAAAATGTGAAAGTGGCAAGCCTAAACGCTCGGCTGATAAATACTTTCTATATTATTTGGTGAGTGTGAAGCAAGTTGGATGTGACTGTGAGTGAAGAGAAGAGTATGGAGGTTTTGGTAGTCTGTGAGGAATGTTGAATTAAATACTTTTTTCAATGATACGCCTTTATTTCAGATACTTTGACGTAGATGGGTAGGTCAGATTATGTAATAAAAATACTGAATCAACGTAAAGAAGAAATTCTATATTTATTTTAGAAAAAACTACTATTTGCGCCAATTGGTTTCGTCAGAGGTAACGTTTGCAGAAGTTGAGATTGATACAATATGCAATATCAGTGACTAGTGTCTTCATGAAAGTAATAGGAAAATTACATCGATTATTCTGGGTATTAAAATTATTTCATATCACAGTAGTGTTGTGTGTAGACACAACACTACTCACTGCAGATTTTAAGGTACAATTGAATTGTACTCGTACTCCGATAGGTGAAACCTTCAGTCTTGTAGCTGTCAAATTCATATTTAATTTTTGGTTACAAATGGCTCTTTATTTAGTTTTAAATAAGGCTTGCAAACCGGATATCTCAAACCACAATAGATTATTATTATCATCAATGAAAACTAGAACAGTGTCATTTTATCTTCAATCTAAATGTGGACAGTTAAGCTGCCCACCCATCCAAGTCTAGCCACGGCATCGCGTGCGCACCCCACGTGGTAGTTACCGCCATTGTCTTCGATCAATGAGCACTTGCCTCCGATAGTGCCTTGACCCAGTCGGAAGAGGCAAAATATTACGTTGTTGTCGAATCTGTGAAGCCGTGAAGCCAGCTGACTAAAATATTGTGAATTGCTTTGCAAAACTTGACAATTTTAATAATAAGGTGTCTCAATTTCATGTTTTACTTCAAATGCTTATCAGCTTCAGATGCCACAATTTTTACTTGATCTCCAATAAAATTTTAATCGCCGACGCAAAAAGAGGGGGGTGTTATATAATTTAAACGTGTCTGTCGGTGGTATCGTAGCTCCCAAACGCATGAACCGATTTTCGTTTAGTTTTTATGTCCTATTTTGGAGCGCACTGTATTTCACGTAAAATATGGATTTTCATGAATGGCATTGTACGAGTACTGGTATCTTACGAATAGATTTCATGAATATCAATGCATCGTAGTGAGATACATATTTTATAATAAATATTTTATAACGCTACCCTCTCCGTTTCGCCATAGTAAACGGAGAATTGGACTATACTCTCCACTATATCCAGACGGGTTGGAGAGGCAAACTAATATTGTAAACATAATTTATAATTAATCTATTGGTAAAAAATAAGCCCAGTGACACAATGCACGACTGTCATGAGAAGAGTCGCGTGAATGTTTGGAGACAAAAACCGTGAGAACAATGCACTTGTATTGTGGCTGCCGTGACCTTATCAATATAGTAAATAATCGTAACCTTACCTAATGTACCGGCTCTTATGTTTTGTGTATTATTTACTTAAATAATTAGACCAATTTGAATTTAAAGTTTGACCAGTTCAGACCAGAAGTGGTCTAGGTAATCTATGTTGAGGTAGGTAGGCAGTTACAAACTAGGCAATTTTTCATTTACTTAGACTGAGTTGCACCACCTAACTTTAACGGTAACTATAATGATAACTGGTGCTTTTTGTATCAAGTTTGAGAGATTTTTGACGTTTGTCAAAGTTAAAGTAAGATGGTGCAACCGAGCATTACTGTTAAATTGCATTAACGCATTGTATGACTACGGTTCTCTGTAAGGCCCAGAACAGACGGTGAAACGCAACTGCAACGAAACTGCAATTGCTAGTTACTTTTGAGTTGCATCTAAGTTTCTGTCATAGCGTCCGTTGAGAGACCACACATGACGCGACCAGTTTGAAACTTTCAGTTTCAGTTTCATTCATCAGAATCATCAGAAAGTTGCAGTTTCGTTGCAGTTGCGTTTCACCGTCTGTTCTGGGCCTCAGAGTTGTAAAAAGAGAGTTTCTCTGCAGTGGGTGAAATAGACTACGAATATTAGGAATTTCAATTAACTTTGTTGATTGTCTAATAAAGTATTACAAAACAATAATAGTTAACATGATATCGCATCTTGTAGGTTAATAATATTAATAACTAGCTTTCCGCCCGCGGCTTCGCCCGAGTGGAATTTTGTCTGTCACAGAAAAACAATATCGCGCGCGTATTTGCTCACCGTTTAGACCTACCCTGAACTACGTCAAACATTTTAAAACCAAAATCAGCTCAAACGGCCCAGCCGTTCTCGAGTTTTAATCAGACTAACAAACATCAATTCATTTTTATTTATATAGATAGATATGCTTACCTGAGACTCGTTCAGCCAACATCCAATATTTGTTGATAATCTCAGTCCAGTTACTGTCCGAGTAGTAATCATCTATAGCGATCTTCACAAAGCCCGACATTTTGGTAGAGTCAATCAACACTAACGCACTAATTCGGTTCTACACTACACACTCACTTCACGGTACTAACTTAAAGTTAAAGTCACTGAGCGGATCGTAGGTAACTATTTGCAACCAGCAAGCTGTCACCTGGAAAGAAGAGAAAATTATATTTAAAACCGGCTAAAACAAATGAAAGTGGCTAGTTTTGAAACAATTACACAAACAAATGAAAGTCGACAGGCTAAGAAAAAAAGTTTTAAAACAATGACACACGAAAATGAATCGCGAAGAAAATGTTCGGCCATAAAATTAAATCGCATGGATAGGCTTTGACGGGCAAATTACCTTTTCCTTAATGACCATTGCTTTCACTATTGCGAATATAATAATAGCTAACAGATTATTAATAAAAGTAAAATGAAATTTAAGGCAGAATACCAAAGAAAATAGTTTTTTTCAGCTTAACAATATTGACAACTTTTCAGTAAATTATCAAATCCAAAGGGAAAAACATATTTTAAGTGACACATNAGACACATAAACAGTGAAATGTAAATTCTACAATCACTGGTGAAAGTTAAAAAAAAGTTTTGATCACATGCAATCCTAAAACTACCCATAACTACCTAAATTTTTTGTTGGATCCAGCCACCATCTTTCCGCTCCGATGTCGTGAGATGCGAAAATCAAAACCACGAGAGGCATCCCATCGCGCTGAACGAAAGCGAAAATATGAGAGCTTACGCGAAAGTGCGCGAGCGCTGGCAGTTCGACCGCGTTTGAAAACGCCGCGCGAACCGACCAATGGGAAGCCTTGTTTCTCCCACACGAACGCAAGGACGTAAGCGCCATAGTAACGCCATTCAATTTTCAACCTTCACACCTCAATTTACGATTGCTTTTTACTTAAGCGTGTTTCGCAAAGCCTTATTGTAAGGTGGAAAGTTACTCAGAATTAAACGTTAAGCGATGATCATAGAGGAGGATTTGCGTTGTATTTTTATGGGAACTGACCAGTCCAAAGTACGGAGACGTTTTCCAGCTACGTGCACAGTCACACACTCGTTTGCTTTACCATAAAAATTGGGATTATTTAAATCTAAGCACTAAAGTGGCTGGCACCGTTTGGCTGAAACGGAACTACAGTGGAAGTATTATGGAAAGCCTTGGGAGAGGCCTTTGTCCAGCAGTGGACGTCATTTGGCTGAAACGAACGAACGAAGCACTAAAGTGGTTTTAATATCCTACAGGTAGTTTGTAATTTCCTTCACGCAAAATCTGGACCATTTCGCTAACACTAGACAATAATACGAGACTAGATCAAACTTTCAGACTCTAAAATCATTATTTTTACCCAAAAGTGATTTAATACGTGAGAAGATTTCAGCCAAAAAATACGTCTGTACCTTTTTAAGCATATCAAGCTTTACAATTTTATCGTAAAATGGCGCTTAATACATCTACACAAGATGCCGTGTTTCAAGCCAAATATGCCGTGATCTGTGCGTTGCAACACGATCATTGTGTCCCAACTTGGAGTTGAAACTTGGCCGGTTATACACGAGATACCGTTGTGAAATGTATCTCCGGACCTTCGGTTCTAATATTTACTCGTATTATAATAACCGTATTGGATCCTTGACCGGGTTGTGATTCAAGGTGTGAATGGCTGAGCACGCAAACATTTTCATGTTATGAAAACACTTATGATGGAAAAACTTTAAATAAGTAGGTTGGTACATGATGTCTGCCTTTGCATGAATCAAAAGAATGATTTTATTTTTATTATTTTTACGTTCAGTCAATAGCTAACTATTGTTAATATGTAACTTTTTTGTCATGTTGTTACGTTTTGTAATTTATGATGTTTGTTTATTGTTGTGTATAAAAAAAATCATATAAGACCTTACAAACGTATTTGTAAATTTAAAATTAAAATAATTATTAAAAAAATATTTAGTACAGCGATTTACTTGTTTTAATTTATTTCTAAAAAGTAGCACAGACCTACATGTTTATAGTACTTTTATTAAAAATATTAAGAACATTTAAGTCTTTGCTTACTAAAGTAACAATTTTATTATATCTTTGTATGAACACAGAAGTAGTTTTTTTATTACTTGGTCTGAGTGAAGGTACCTTGATATCTTCAGATGGATCTTCGTAGCAAATACCTCGTACATCAAATTATAATGATAGTTCCACAAACTCTCGACAGAGGGCGTCTTAGCTTTCGCCGTAGCCGTGGTTTGAACTTGTGCCAGTTTGGCCACAGTCAATGCCAGGAAATGGTTATGGGCGCACTTGAAAAAAAAATGGTCAAGTGTGGGTGTTTTTTTTTAAACTTTTTATTTTTTTGCAGTGATGATGTTATATGAACTTTTTACTTTTTTGCTGTTATTTGTGATTGTTGTGTAAAGCCTTTGTAGTGAATTAGTGATTTGAAGTCTTAGGTTCGAGTCCAAAGCTAGATAATTTATTTTAGAAACCTTAAATATATTGGGACACTATCATTATCTTTTAGCCATAAGACGTCCACTGCTGAACATTGGGATAAATTTTGGGACATGTTGATAAATAATTAATTAATCTAAAGTAATGGTAGTACTTATTTAAACGATGAAAGCTTTTTATACACGCGTAGACTTAGAGTCAAATCATGATGGTCATTGATCACGATGATCTTGCATGGTTTTGGATTGATGGTGTGGATCATTAACTGAGTGTTTGGACAACTTACTCACGTTTTCACTTTCATATCTCTCTCTGGACTTAAAAGCTCAGTAAATTGTAATCTACTTATTACACATTTGCTTCTAAGGCTGAGTTGCACCAACTTATTTTAACCGTAACTTTAACAATGACCGGTGCTTTTTGTATGGAGTTTAACAGATTTTTGACTTTGTTAAAGTCAAAATAAGATGGTGCAACTCAGCCTAAGCATTTTTTGGTAATTAATATTTTGTTTTGCACAATGTACTAATAATAGTTATGTTAGCCCCTCATGCTCAATTCATACATGCTTGTATTACGAGGTTCACAACAATAGTCTAGAGGCAGTGGGGTTCAAACCAGCGTCCTTGTCGCCTTCTTACAACTTAATCATATACAGGGTGATTTTGTTATCAGTATCCAAAATTTACAAATACAACTTTATTTTAATTATTCTTAATAAATATTTTTTCTATAAACGAAGCAAATTATCCACGTGAGTCAACCGAGTCAAACCGCACGCAGCGGATAAAAATAATTAAATATGAAAAAGAAATATAATTGTTTTTTTACGTAAATCGATTAACTTACTGATTTTGAGTCGCTCCTAAAAATTTGGATAGTGATAACAAAATCACCATATATTTTAATTGCTTTTAGGTTTCAAAAGAATGTGGAAATTATGTAAGCATTACCAGTACTTGATAACTCAAAAAGTAATTAAAAAGGCCTTAGCCCACTTATTTGCATGACATTGAAACTGGTCAAAATATTGACACGACATTTCACAATGTGTTAGGAAAGTCGGCCTTGTCCAGCGGATTGTAGATTCCTCGGTTTTTATATAATTACTCGTTTCAAGGTCAATGCACGACTAAAGCTCGGTGTTGAGTAAGCGCGACAAAATTTGGTAGTGCACAGCTTTAAGCTGTTTTAAAAATAAAGCCATTTTTGATTCAATGTTATTATCGAACTTTTATGTAATTTTTTGAGGCAGGAGTAAAATGAACTGCTATTAGTATATCATAGTTAAAACTAACTATATCCCATGGCTTCGCTTGTTTGATTTTCGGTCTGTTACAGTTTTTGATTGTGTGCGTCAGTCTTTATATTTTAGCCCTCTGTCAAAAACAGGGATAAAACTACATATATGTTTTTGCTCAGTTCTCAACAATCAACATTAAATCTCTACATCAAATTCTAAATCGGTTCAGTGGTTAAGAATTGAAATGGTTAGACGGACAGAATTACTTCACAATATGTATATGTACGGATAGCTCAGAGTTTATCCTGTGTATCAAAAACACTCATAGATCCGTATCGATAAATACAACTGATCGATTACCACATATTATAGCTTAGTTCAGTATGACAGTTAGTACAGATTCTTGCGAAATACATAGCGTTGGAGTGACGAATTGATCTATTGATGTAAATGGACTGTTCTACTTTACTTGACAAGTGGTTAAAACGACATTTAAATGATGAATAATGAGATAATAGATCTTGATACTAAATTATTTGAAGGCAAAGTGAGTCATGAATGAAGATTGAAGACGATTGATTGGGATTTGACTTCGAAATCAAACATGTTCATTGAATATCATATCAGTATCATTGGAGCCAATATAATCGTAAAGCTGCTTCACCGATACTTAAGCCAGCTATAGAAAATCGATGCTTTTTTCTCATCCAGTTTTAAAATCCGCAAAGAAGAAATTCGGCAGACGACCGAAGCAATTGGCATATTAATTAAATAATTGATCAAGCTAAAATGCCAAAGAAATAGCAATACGTCTGTCATAGAACCAATGATATGGATTTCCGATACCACATACGAGTATGTATTGTCAAACGTGCCTCGAGTGAATTAGCCATTTTCTTCCAAATAAATATTAGCATTTTTTTTACCATAGTTTATGTTAATCCTTTCCGTGTGTTTCTTTTTTGTTCTTATTATTATTATTAATCATACTCTTAAAATCAAAACCTAACACATACAAATAACGCTAACATAACTAAATCTAGATGGTCACCATAATAATCTCATTTACATGACTCTAGGCATAATAAATACGGCGTTTCAGCACAAACTCAGCGTAGACCATAACTTGTAGAGCATTTTCGCAATGCGCGTGAGTTTGTTTACCCGACGGCGCGTGGTGAATACTAAGTGACTGAAACTTATCTGATGCTGTCACAAGAAATATGAATAGTGGCCACTTGGCCTAATGGTTCACGTACTGGACTACAATAAACTTTGCTTAGTCTACTAAAACTCATTTATTTATGCACTTTTACACGTCCCAGTATTAACCCTACCACTGCTTCAGGACAATAAATGGGCCAGTGCTGAAAAGAAGCAGCGCAAGAAACTCAGTTACTTTGTCAGCGTCTATTTCAAGGGTACTGTCATCCACTTTGCACTGGATCCC